GTGTAATTGTCTAGCCTTTTTTTTTTTTTCCTGAAAAAAAGACACAAATTGGTGACCAACATTTTCTGGTGTCATAGCATCTTCTAAAGTCTGCTTTTGACTGTATATGTACACTTCATCATAGAAATATACCACAAAGTATGTGTGGCTTCTACTGAATACTTAGATAACCTCTAAGTATTCAACATTATAAAGAATGCTGCACTAAATGTTGTATTCTTTTATATTAAAATCTGTGAGTGTCTCTGATTATTTCTTTGGCTAAAATTTTAATAATAAAACCAAATGGTATGCATAGGTTAAGATTCTTAACACACAATTCAAATTGTTCATTATGTTTACGCCAGTTTGTACGCCCCGTGTGTCATAAGGATGTTCACTAAGTCACTACATTTGTTTTTAAGGTTTCAAATATTTATTGTTGATCCATTAGTGCTGATCAGAGAAAAAGATTAAGATTCCTGATAAAGCACATTCAACTGTCCTGCTAATGGTATTTATTTTATGGTGATATAATCTGGACCATGATAAAGCAGGTATCATCTTGTGACCTATCCTCTCTTGAGAGGATAATGTGCTGCAGCTCATGTGCAATTCCTTACACTCTCAGCTTAGTCCTCCTCCAGTGCGAGCCTAACCAAGCCTTCTCACAAGACTTTCAGAATCAAACGATTCCTGGCCAAGAAGCAAAAGCAGAATCATCCCATTCCTCAATGGATTCAGATGAAGACTGGTAATAAAATCAGAATGAGAAAAAAATCTTTGCCAGTGTCTTGGTTACTTTTTTCTCGCTGCTGGGACAAAACACCTGACACCCAAAATTAAGGAAGGAAAGGTTTATTTCGCTTACAGTTCGTGGAAGTTTCAATCCGTACTTGGCAGATTATAAGGCAGAGTGGCACGTGGCAGAGGGCTGCATCTCAGGGCGGCAGCACACAGCTAAACCGCAAGCACCCACCAAGGCGGAATGGGGGAGGAATGCCCCCAAGCAGCTTCTTCCTCTCCCTTACATATGCAAACTATCCACTCCAGGGCGGGTGTAGCTCTCACACCCACAATCATTCACCTCTAATAGTCTGCCCCATGTCCGCATGAGGCTTTGGGGGGACACACAGACATAAACCGTAACAGCCAGCAACCTCTTGGGTAGAAAAGGACTATTATCTTTTATCTATAAAGATATCTTTTACCTATAAAGAACTCAAAAAACTAGAACCCCCACCCCCAATAATAGACCTAATTTTTTCTTAAAGGGAAACTGAATATAGACATTTCTCAGAAAAAAATACAAATTGACATTAGGTACATAAAAATATGTGCAGCATCTTTGGCCATTTGAGAAATGCTATCAAGAACTCAAAAATCAAAAAATACTGGCAAGGTTGCGCGGGGAGAGGAATCCTTCTACATTGCTGTGGAAATGTGAACTAGTACACCACTATGGAAATCAGCATAGAATTCTCAAAAAACTAAAAATAGAAATTCCATTTGACCTAGCTATACCTCTTTTGTGTATCTTACTAAAAGAGTTAATAACATCTTATATACCATGTTTATAGCAACACAGTTCATAATAGCTAAATTTCTATCTGTCCATCCACAGATGAATGGATAAAGAAAATGTGTTATATACATGCAGTGCAGTACTGCTCAGCCATAAAGAAAGATAAGTGAGTCATCTGTAGGAAAGGGGATGTATCTTGAGTCCATAATGCTAACTGAAATAAATCAGAAACACATTACCACTTGGTTTCTCTTACATGAGAAATCCAAGGTATAAGTAATTTAAGGAGCAAAATAAAAGAACAATGATCAAAACTAGGTGACAGAATTTCTGGAGATAGGAAAGGAATCTGGGGATGGAGAGACATAGGAAGGAGGGGAAGTAAAAAGGATCAAGATGCCATATGTGTATCTACCAATCCTCTATGATGAATACATTCATTATGTATTACAAACATAAACTAGTACTTTTTAAAAATTAATTTTTCATTTATCAAAGTTTGCTTGCTTCTTTTTCAAATCTATTATACCACATTTTATAATGTCCTATTCCTCGCGATGTCTTTTCTCTCTTAAATATGATCACGAGTTGTTTTAATTCTAGTATCTTTTAATACTTTTAATTGTAATATCTAAAAATTTTTGTACATTTCTACTAATTCCTAAAGTGTCTTGTTTCCTGGTTGTTTGATTAACTCTGAGACTGCAATACTTACTTCCCTTCACAATGATCTTGGGTGACTACTTTAGGCCTAGGGATGAAGGTAACCATCTTCATGGACAATTTCTACTGATAACCCTAACAGCAATATTCACAATCATTTTAAAATGATACCATAAGGGTTGATCAAGTATTAAAAATTTGAGTACTAAATGTAAACAAAGAACAATACATGGCTATAACCTTTTATGTATAAGTTTTCTTCATTTTCCCTTCTTCTATTCAGTATCAATGCAACTTTCCAATTTTATACCCAGAGGCAAGGATTTCTTCTGTTTTATCCTTATCCCAAGAATGAAACACTTCTAGGTTATAGTTTTGATAAATTTTATGATGTTCTTTTTTTTTTTTTTTTGGTACCAGGAATCAAACACATGACCTCACACTTTCCAGGCAGGTTCCTGTGCCACTGAGCTATATCCCCAACCCTTCGATAAACTTTATGTATATGTCTATTATTTCTTTTAAATAGCCCTTTTAGGAGTTTTTAGAGGAGTTGGAAATAAGAATCATAGTTGACAACCACAAAGATATCAAGACTCCTTGCTATGTATTTATACCCCAAAACTATATCCATTCTACCCACATGGCAGTTTCTCATAAAACTAAGTAAAAATTAGAACTGCTTCCCATTATACTTTTTTCTGGCAAGAAAGTTGTCCTCTGAGATTTGCCACATGTTGCATTTAGGTCTTAATTACAATGAAGGAAAATGGATCACATGTTATTCATTTCTAAAATAAACTAATCCTTAATCATAAAAACTTTACATAACTTCTACCCTAGGACTTAACACATTAAATGTTAAATGATTCAGTTTTTCTTGCCTCATCAAGAAGACAGCATTTAATTCACAGCTATATTCCCAATATCTAGTTTGTTACCATAATGGGTGCTTGCTAAATAAATTTTGAATGAAAGAAAAAAACAAAAATATTAAATTCTACTGCCTTCAAAATAGTCCAAAGGATAATTTCATAGTGAGTTAACATACTTCCATAACAGAAAGAAAATTCATTAATAATAAAAACTAGGTAAAAGACATGTAAAAATATGAAGTCTAATTAAAATGATAATGTGAATCAAGATAAAAATAATTAAAAATGTAATGTAAGCCCATCAACATATGGTAAGCTTGAATATAAACACGAAAAAGTAAATTTAAACTAAAGTAAATTTTTAAAAAAGTAAGATCTGCCAGACTGGAAAAACCTAAGTCAGTCATACAAGTGATGAAAATGTGATGCAACAACTTGCATATAATTTCAGTAAGTATAAATTATATAGCTATTTTATAAGATAGTTTTGCATTATGCAATAAAGTTGAATCTACACTTACAGACCTTATGATTCATTAATTCTACTCCAATATATATAGTAAAGAAATTTCTATATATGTATACCAAAAAATGTATGTTCATACCAGCCTGAACCATAACAGCAAAAATCCATTAAAAATTCAAATGCCTCAACAGCAAAACAGATAAGCATACTTTTGTATATTTTTTAAAAAGCAAATGTGCAGATTTATTAGCAAAGATCAAAGATAAGTACACTTAAAAGGGTGGTAGCAGGTCAAAGACAAGAGGTCATGGTAGCCTTGTTTTGCGTATTTATACAGTGGAATACAATATAATAGGGAAAATGAATGAAAATACAGTTATATATAATATCAATACATTAAGCAAAAGACAGATATGACCAAGGGCTCACAGGAGGCTTCAAAAGGTTATGGTTATTTTCCACTTCTAAAAATTATTGATAATTAAACAAATTATTATTCTTTACATAAAATACGAATATATACCCTTTAAACACACAATGTACAACAAAACATATAAATACAGGTGATCCAAGACAAGTATGCAACATAAGAAGTAGAGAGACTAAGTTGCCATTAACTACACTAGAAATAAAAGGTTTTATTTACTCATTTATTATGCCTGCCTCTAACAGCATTAATTTCCTCAAGGATATGGACATTAATGAAGTGTCCTTACTACATAAGCATTAACACAGGAAGTGTATTAAGTGTAAGAATGACTGTTTTTAAATTCAGACACCACTTATCCGAAAAGGAAATTTAGCTCATAGTTGTAACACTATCTAGATATACTAGATATACTACTTTTTTTTTTTTTTTTTGGTACCAGAAATTGAACTCAGGACCTTGTGCTTGCCAGGTAGGTGCCACGCTACTGAGCTACATCCCTAGCCCAAGTATAATACTTTAATAAAATAAAAAAACTATATTAAGTTAATTTTCCACAAAATGTATCATTACTACTAATATTTCCTTAAATATTTACAGAATGACTTGAGTATAATAGAACAGGTCATAATTTTTGCTTAGGTCAGAACAGCAAAATCTACATTTTAACTAATACTTCTTGGTTAAGTTTCCTTATAGGCGATCAAGAAACTTAGTTATAGGCTGAAGGTATGGTTCTGTGGTAGTGTGCATCAAGGGCAGGGCCCTAGTTTCAGTCCTGAGTGCCACAAAAGAAAAACAAAAAGTTTTGCATCATTACTAACCCAGAAAAAAAAATTAGAATTTAAGTCTTCCAGCAGATGGAAGAAAAAAATCTGTCTCATCAAATCCCACATTGCATTTGCCTATAAAATAAAAATATTTGCAAAACTTAAAGAGAGTAAGAGAAAAAAATTTACTCATAACCCCAGAGTCTGAATAAACTAGTAACGCATTCCACTATTCAATTGAATAAGTGCCTAATTCTGAACTCTACATAACATCTGAAGCTACATATAATCTTACCTGGGGAGGATAGTTGCTCTCTGAAGACCATCTTGAAGACTGGTCATTTGGTTTATCCACTAAAATGTTCCTGAAATAAAGAAATGGAAACTGTAGCAAAAAAATTAAAAGAGTAAGTGAACATAAACAGACAAAAAGAGGAATAATCTACTAGATTTAAAAATTATCATAAAGTTACATAACACTTTAAACTTGAATATGAAACACAATAAGCATAGAAAGCCTCCAGTATAAGAGTGAGTGTGTGTGTGTGTGTGTGTGTGTGTGTGTGTGTGTGTGTGTACACATATAATTATAAAATATGTTAAAGCCTTTGTAGAGATGGAAAGGGGATCTGAGGAGGAGAAGAAACAAAGGGAAAAGTGGAGACAATCAAGATGCAATATGTGTATATACCAATATCCCATGATAAATATATTATGCATTAAAAACACATACTGTAGTAATAAAAAAAAATTAAGAAAGGAAAAGAGGTAAAAACAGGATAAAAGTCACATTTCAAGGCAACTTTTGTTTACCAGAAAGACAGAGATCGATCAATCTACTTCACACTAAGTGATGAAAATGATTTTTCAGGTATATTAAGAATTTAATGCAAAAACAAAGAAATAAAACGCCCAAATACCTAAAAATAAAAATACCATAATGAAAAAATACTTCATATCTTCTAAATTAGAGACAAAAAAAAAAAAAAAAAGAAAAATCCTATTTTTGGAAAAAGTAGGAAATAATAAACTATAAAGCTGAAAACATTAAAAACAAAATTTTAAATAACAATATTAACACCAAGCATAAATATAACCACCCATCTAAAATAATATTAAAATATTGTTTCCACTGTGTGAATAAATAACACTATCTATTCAAACGCAAACATACAATAACAAAAGGACTCAGGACAGATAAAGCATATATAAGGTAGATGCAAAGTTTGTAAAAACTAGAGAGAGTACAAAGCAAAAAGAAATAACTAGGTGAAAATAATAACTAACAGAATCCAAACCACATTAATGAAATAATTGTAAATTGCAATATATCAAAACAAAAATAAAGCAAAAATGTATCAAAAGAAAAATAAAGCAAAAACCATAGTAAATATAAAAAGAAACTGACAAAACGTAGGAGAATAATGTCTTCCAGCACCTGGAAAATTAATAAACAAACGCCAATCATCTGTATGACATTAAGATTGTGATAAAAGAATAATGGTATTACGAAAAAAATGAGGAAAAAACCTGAATGGTGTGAGGTTCCAGTCATGTCATAACCTGAGAAATTAGTAAATGGATCACTACACACAAAGTTAATAGAAACATTTACAACATGTTCTAACTTGTGAAATGCCATAAGCCCATTGGAAATAGGGTAGTTGGATATCTGAGAATGAAATTCAAGAAAAATGACAGGGCTGAATAAATATGTATCTTTAGAAATGCAAGTGAAGACATTGACATAGATGGGCAATAAAATGAGGCTAGAGATGAAAAGTTTAAGGACTGCTTAAATTGTGAAGGTCCAGATGCAAAGAATCAACCAGAGGCAAGTAAAGGGAGCCAAAAATGAACACCTAGAAGGTGCAGATGCCAACTGAAGAAACTATTTTAAGAAGAAAGAACTGAAAAACTACATTAAAATGCTTCTGAAAAGACAGGGTGGTTATTTGTCTTCATATGCCTAAATGTTGCCACACACAAGGTCTTTAATAAATATTTGATGACGTGAACAAATAAATAGCACTTAAAAAATTTGGATCCACAATAGTATACAGTATATTAATTCTCAGTGGCTACATATTACTTAAAGTTCATACTAAGTTAAAATGAAATTGAAAGAAATAAAATACAGACCAGAAATAGTTCGTTGAAATTTAATATAACCAAAATTGAAATTCTGTACCTATGATTTTCTTTTAGAACTATCTCAAAGTTAGCTAATCTAGGTTGGCTTCCTCCTATGAAAATAAAATTGTAAGAAAAAATGTATAAATAAACTAATGAAACAGGTACTTTAAAAACAGACTAATAAATACAAGAGAAAAGAATCAGCCGATCAGTAGTATAAGAATGTAGCAGACACAGAAATGAAGAGAAATATCCTTAACAACTGTGCACTCCAGAGAATAAAAATTAAGGGCTTTTTAATTCCAGTTGCCAGGAATCTGTTTCTGGCAACCAAAACACTTGACCACAACACCTTTATAGGCATCCTATGACTTTGATTTATATAGTCCTACTGTCTAGAAAAATAAAAGGAAAAAAGTTCTGCAAGACAGAATTCAGAGCCAAAACCATAGCAATCAAATAGTAAATATTTACTTACCAAGATTAACTATCTCCCATATTTAAAAATGCAAAATAAGAACTAATAATTGAAAACTGGTCAAGAACTGAAAAAAAGAAAATGGGCTGGTGACTAAAATGGCTTTGTATATTTATCAAGTTAGTTTACATTTAAATGCACATTTTCATTTCTCCCAACCCTTGATAAAAACTGAAGGTTAAGAAAATGAATATCATTTTAAGCTTCTCAGACACAGACTACCAAGGCAAAGTTGTAACTAAATTCCTCTATTAGGACTGTAAAAATGTGTAATGAAGCACATGGGTAATTAAAAAATAGAATAATACAATGTTAACTTTCTCCAAGTTATAGCTCTAATTTTGCATATTTTAAAAAGTGCATATTTATATATAATACCAATTTAAATGTCAAATACAAAATGTTACAATTCATCACTAAAAGATAATTTATTGGACATTTTGGGTGTAAGTCAAGTGAGCACATCAAAATTTTATTAAACTTATACTCAAACTCTAGTAATCTTTCAAATTACTGCTCTTAAAAATAGTTAAAATGTGCCAGGTGTGGTGGCACACACCTGGAACCCCAGCACTGGGGTGGCTGAGGCAGGAGGATCATTCCGAGTTCGAAACTAGCCTGGGCTACAAAGTGAGCTGAAGGCCAGCCTGGACTGCATAATGAGAACTGTCTCAAAAAGCTAAAGGAAAAAAAGTTAAAATTAATATAAACAGCAAAAAAATGGAACATTTAACGTTGTTTCTGCTAACAGCTTCTCAGGATACTTATCCTAAGTCCAATCAATTCTAAATTGAGAGCTGCAGATAATCAAAAGCACCTCTTATTTTGATACCAAGAAAAGTCAGTCAAGCACAGTATTAAAAAGAGTGTAGAAGAATTAAGCTTGAGAATGTTTTTCTTGTAATAGGTTAAAAATACACTCATAAATCCTGTTCCCTTTTGTTGAATGATGTAATAAAACAGATCTAAATGAAATCAACTAAGAAGAGTAAGAACTCGGATCTTGGCCACTAAGAGGTTAGGTAATCCATTAGATAATCTCTTACAGTTTTAATTCTTTTATCTGCAATGTGAAGGAAAAGGTTGAGTTCTCTAATGTCAAATTTCTTCTAGCTCTAACCAAGGCAGTTAGGAAACACCTTTCATGAAGACATTTTTCAATTCCATGATTACCTTAATTTAAGGTATAATGTAAAATCACCCTCCTATATATTAGTCAATATAACACACAGGAAGCTAAAAAGTAGATCTCAAAAAAAGTAGAGAATAGAATAGTAGTTACCAGAGTCCAAGATCCAGTAAGTATATAGGGAATAGAGGAATGGAGAAAGGATAGTTCACAGGTACAGGGGTGCAGTTCGATCAGAGGAATAACTTTTAATGTTCTATAGCACAATATGATAACTACAGTTCACATCAATTAGCTGAATGCTTCAAATAGCTAGTACAGAAGACTTAGAATGCTCCCAAAGCAAATGATGCATGTCTGAGGTAATTGATAAGCCAACTGCTTTGATATTACACACTGTAGAAATGTATTGAACATCATACTGTATCTCACAAATATGTATAATTACTGTTGATTAAAAACAAAAATATATTTTAAAAGCAAATTACAATTTGAAAAAAAAAAGTAGTAAAGAAATAACACAGAATAAAGATGACATATACATTGTTGAGCTTTAAATTTACTTTAAATACTACACAATCTTTCTCCCTCCACCCACCCCGCATACTAGGGTACCCAGGACGCTCATATGGAGCTTCATTCCCAGCACCCTTTCTCCTTTTGAGACAGGATCTCACTAAATTGCTAAACTTCCCTGGCTTGGCCCAGACTTGAAATCCTCCTGCATCAGCCTCCCAGAGTGCTGGGATTACTGAGATATACAGGCATACAAGGTCCCCATTTGTGACGTTAACATTCAAATTAGAGGTGCAAAATAAGCAAGTACTCAACCTTTTCCTTCACATTGCAGATAAAAGAATTAAAACCGTAAGAGATTATCTGATGGATTACCTAACCCCTTAGTGGCCAAGATCTGAGTTCTTACTCTTCTTAGTTGATTTCATTTAGATCTGTTTTATTACATCATAAACAAGTAGAGTTGCCTACAAAATACATATTATGACAGGTGTTATAAAAAAAATAAACAGTGTGCTTCTCAAGGCCTAAAATTTAAGATACACACCTCTCTGGAAAAAAAGCAGCTACTTACATTAATTAAAAGGAGACACTCATGTAAAAATGAAGGAGAAGCCTATTCTCTACAAAGGAACCAACATATTCAAATCCTAGAAATAGAAAATAATCTAAACAAGGAAATGTGAGAACTGAATAAAGTCTGATAATGTCCTTTACAGTGTCCAAAATGTATGTAATGCAAAGAAGGCAGCCAGAGAACATTCAACAAGTGCTAACTATAGGTTCTAAGAGGATTTCAGAACCCTCTTACCAATATTCTCTTACTGTCAGAAAAACAGAAATTCACCAAGAAGAAAAACTGCAGGAAATAGAAAACCTAAGGAAAGGTAAGGTACATGTTTCACATGGGCAGAGGACAGACTTCAAAAAGTATCACAACAGCAAAATATTTTTCAAAGAGCCTCTTCAGAAAGCAAAATACTTAGAAAACATAAAAGGCAAAAATATTTTCTATTTCTCAAAAGTCCAAATTTTAAAAATACTTCACAAATGAGATGGACATGAACTACAAAGCTCAAAAACTACAGTACTCCATTCCTTCTTCC